AAAAGACATTGCGTGTACTTTCTCATATACACGTGTGGGCCCCAGGTGCACGTACCATTGCTCTTCTAAAGATACCATATGTGCAGTTTTACTTAGAGAGGTGGTCTCCGTAAATCACTGAAAATTAATTGAAATCGTTTGAAATTCGAGTTTGTTTTTTGCTTCTGTGAAGGGCCGCTATTTTTATAGCTAGAATGTTCAGCTGGGCAATGATCTTTGACGGATATGTCGCAAATACTGAGTATGAATAAAATCCGTCAAACCTTTCAGGCGCTAGCGAGGCGCGACGCGCACACATACATAATGTTACATACGCCTGAAAGCCGGAATAGCGAAGTCGGTGCGAACGTCCATTGTCAGGCTACGGCTAGATGAACGCATTCCCAAGCGCTACAAGAATAGGCGTTCACTGCTACACATCGGTGTGCGAACGTCCATTGTCAGGCTACGGCTAGATGAACGCATTCCCAAGCGCTACAAGAATAGGCGTTCACTGCTACACATCGGTTCTGGTTAAATGGTTCCCTGCACGCGGTGTAATTTTAACAGTTGAAAGCCGATATCCACGGCGACGACTTGTTGAAAGCACAATGACGGGGAAACGCGATAACATTAACTGCTGGGAATAGTGTGATAATCGCGGTCGGCTGAAGGGTTATGTAATGAGGCCGGGCAAGGCCAAAACAGGCTTAAGTCGAAGAGTTACGTGTGAGACATCCAGTGACAGCTGAGAAGCCGTCAGTCGAAGAGAATTCAGAAGGCAGCTGAATAGTTCATGTGTTCAAGACCTTATTTCGTGTGTCATGATTATAGTATTCTTGAGAGTGTTGTAATTAATTTTCAGTAAATAAACTCACCAATCCAAACCCCGTCTACAAGTCACTAATACACATGACAATTCACACGTATATACTTGCCTACATACACACATACATACGAGTACATACGCACCTACATACATACATACAAATAAACAAACAGACAGCGTTACAAAAAAAACTTATTTTTTTTTATTTACGGGTGACGAAAGCTTGTAAATCTGTCAAATTCTTGAGACCGGTATTTGCATGGTTAAATTTTTCATGCTAATATATGGAAGAGTAAAGAACAGTCCTGTTGTGAACTGATTGTGGTGCTGTCATCTCATCCCCCTCCTCTCATCTCGCTGCTGGTTTTTGCGATGTCCGATGAGTGTCATCGGCCAGCTCGTTGTCATGAGAAGAATTCGCAGTCAGCCCGTGGTATTGAACGTTGTCCATCGTCTTGATACCTTAAGACTCAACGTTCCCACCACAAGTGCTGGGCCCGTTGTCTGGATCGCTGGACCTGCAGTAATGACGCCGCGTTTACTG